AAAAAAAAAAGATGCAGGTCAGATGCCAAGTCTTCAACACTGCTCTTTACAAGCCTTCCAAATTATGAACCGTGCTTATCTCTTTGAATCTCTGCTAAATACAACATTTATCAAAATTATTGTTGGGGGCAGTAAGATAGCTCTGTGGGTAAATGAACTTGCCACCAAGTCTAATGATGACCAGTGTTTGATCCCTAGGACACACATGTTGGAAGGAAAGGAACCAACTCCTACTTGTCCTCTGACTTCCCCACACACGCCATGGCCTGTATACACACACACACACACACACACACACACACACACACACACACACACACACACGCATGCACACACATACACATATACTGTATAAATGTTATTTTAAGAGTTCTGGTTGAGTCCTACATCTCTCCTGCTAAGTTGCTAGTCCTTTGATGATGGGGAACTGTGTGTATGTCTGATACACATTTTCTTCTGTTCCCACTCCTGAGGGAGTCATAGGCATATTGAAGACGCTCAGCATTGGTTAAAATGATTAAGTAGAATTGTTGTGTGATAAAATTATACCTTCACAATTTTTTCACTAAAGAAATCAAATTCTGGAAAATGCATTCCTCACGCTATGGATAATTTTAAATGAGTGCACACGAAGAGAGTAAGTTGAGGCTTTCAGAGTCCTGTTTCCCTCAGGTCTGAAATGAGGAGGGTTGTTCTAACCCAAGAGTCACAGCCGGATGGTAAGTATTGACCCTCTCCCTGCTCACAGAACACAGAAGCCATTCTGCTCTCTGAAAGCCCAGAAGCGGCTTCAGGTAGTTGGTCCAACACAGCTCTTAACAGTCAGGATGATGGGATCAGAGACAGTTAGCGGCAACCTTCATCTCAGACGCTCCGGTTTTCAGGAGCAAAGGGGTAGGTATGCTTTGTGACTAGGTCGGCTTGGGCCAACTGAGACTCAGCTGAGCAGCTCCCTCTTGTTTGTTTGTTTGTTTGTTTGTTTGTTTGTTTGTTTCACATGCTGGAGGGCTTTCAGGAGCTCTTCCCAGCACAAGGGAGCAATGTGCCACTAAACACTGTGGCGTGTGCTGCCTGACCAAATGACGGAGTGACACTCGGGTTGGCCTCCACTCAACAATGCTGTCCATATCTCTATAAAGTTTGAGTCAAAGTGGTATTTTGCAGCTCCCACAGTTGCGTCACTTTTCCTGCCCTCCAGCAATCCTAGACTTAGCACCTTTATATGTTCCCAGCTAAACATTCACAGCTCTTCTAAGGTGACCACCTGGCAAAGGAAACTGGTTTAAAATGCACAACGCTTGACCATGGGACTCCACAGAACTCAACATGTCGGAGAAAGAAACTCCAAGTTAACACAGGACAAAAGGACTGTGCCAGAAAGAGATTCTCTTGAGCCCGGCTGCCTTCAGTATTAAGTCAGAGTGGAAAAGAAGGGGGTTTGGCCTGCCCCCACACACTTCACAGCTTGTTGCTTCTGGAAAGTGGAATTCCAAACTAGGCAGTCATCAGCTAGCTGTGGAGAGTAATCTACACCCTGGGATTGTTTCCAAAGGCTTGCTTAAATGCTTTGTTTGGATACCGTTTTCCTTACCTGCTCATGTAGTTTATGAAGCACTAACTAATTCATTTCTGTGTGTGTGGTATTTCTGGACTAACACTCTACTGTCCCACAACATTGTCCATTTAATGTATAAAACACACTTCATCCTTACACACAAATGTCAGCCTAGTACAGAGTTCGTGTTGATGATGAAGGGCGGCCGGGGGAGCTCTTTGGTGGAGTGAAATTCAGTGAAACAAGAAGGCTCTGTGATCCTTTCTCTGTCATGATGCCATGCAAATTGAAATGACTTTGAACATGTTAAATGGCACCACAGATGGGAATGCTGGTGAGAATACGCCTTAAAGAAATAGTACTCCCCCCTGTAAAACCAATTATCTGGGACTACAGAGTTGGCTCAGTGGTTAAGAGCAGAATGCAGTTAAATCTCGCCATTTTAAATAGTCCACAACCAATTTTCTCCTTTCACAAATAACACTTTTTTGAGACAGGGTCTCATGTATCCCAGCCTGGCCTTGAACTCCTTATGTAACTGAGGCTGACTCTGGACTTCCGGTCCCCCTGCTTCCATCTCCTGAGTGGTGGGGTGACAGCCATTCGCCATTTGCTCAGTTTAGGCAGCTGTGGGGCTAGAACCCAGGGTTTGTGCATGACAGGTGAGGACTCTACCAACTGAGACACACTCGCATCTGTAAAAAGCATGTGTTGTTGTTGTTGTTGTTGTTGTTTTTCGTTCTCTAGGTCTTATCATTTCGTTGGAAATAAGTTGGAAATATGGGTGTCTAAGTGCCAGAGGACATAGGCTGCTCCACACACAGTGCCTCTGCTCTTTTATCCACTCCACAGGGTCAATTGCTGTCCTCGGGTCCTAACATAACCTTCCAGAATGTATGCAAATGAAACAACATAACATTCTGCTTTCCCCGCTTAGACCAATAGATGTTAGACAGGTTATTGTATAAAATAGCCTACTAAACATTAAAATTTCATTTTTTTCCCCACCACTGAAATATCTTTTCCTCCATGTCGACAAGGCCCTCTCCATGATGGAGGCTTCACCACCCTAGGTGATGGCGTTATCTGTAACGCCCTTTCCTACTGAATGAAGACACACAAATAGGATTCCTTCTGCTTTCAGGGTGATCTGGGACCTCCGACGTGCTCTGTACCTGGCCTTGCTGAATGTTGCGTTTCTGCTGCGCATGGTTCTCTGGGTAACCTCTAAGTTCCACTTAAATAGATGTGGCCAGTAACATGAGATTGGCCAGGACAGCAGCTGCTGCCTGCTCACATTTGTTAGACCTGACAGTGGCCAGTGGAAACTTGGAGCCAAATGGCCTTTGGAAAAGGCTGTGAGGGAACCAGACCCCTAGTGCACATGCCTCTCAGAGGCACAGCTGAGGACTTAGCTGCTACCCACGAGGCACTCTGACTGTACCAAGCACCCTCGCAAACACTCCCCTTAACCCACTCCATGTTTCTCTCTCATCTGTACTCGGTGTCGGGACCATGAAGCTGCAGCCAGGCACCAGAGAGGCCAGTGATGTGATCACCAGCCGCTTTGGCTCTCACCTCATGATGAGTTCTCTGCTCTAGGAGTAAGAGGATGCTTATGAAAAGTGTTCACCTTGCATCCATGTTGTGACATAAATTAGAATTCCAGCTGATGTTTCTTAGAAAAGGCACCATGTCCACGAAGAGACACAAACCCACAAGGAACCTGTTCCCAGAGGTTGGTTTACCTGGCAGTGAATCGGGCTTAAGTTCCAGGGATCCTCTCTGGCAGAACCTTCAGATTATTAGCCTTATAGTCCTTTCTGCAATGTGACCCTCAAGTTCTAGAAGCTTCTTGCTCGACAAGCCTGAATTTGACCCTGTTGTCACCATAGCCAGCTGTGACTATGTGCACGCTGAGTCTCAACATGTCTGCTCACCCAGGGGCAACTCTTGGTCTCGGAATATGGAAGGCACCTTCCCCACTGAGCCAGCTCGCCAGCCCACTCAGATATAGAACGGTTTCTTAGCTCCTCTCTGGTTCTTTTGTTTTTATTTGTATTTCTCATTGAACATGAAAGGGAGGCCTCTCTCTGGGCTTTCTGGCTTTTCCCTCCTGGAAGAACTGATGTAAAGAATGAGCCTCGGTAAACAGTGCCCTCCTTCAAGTAAAAGGAAGTCACCTCCGCCAAACACGGAAGGGACGAGGGTAGGACGCTACCGCAGAAGGAGGTCACTCTCCCAGTCCTTCCTGAGACAAATGGAAATAAATATTTCAAAGCCACAGTTGTAAGATTTGTGGTCAATGTACTGTAATTCATCTCTGTTAGTGAGGAGAACTGAAAAATAGACAATATATCTATTTTTGTTTTTGTTTTTTCGAGACAGGGTTTCTCTGTGTAGCTTTGCACCTTTCCTGGAACTTGCTTTGGAGACCAGGCTGGCCTTGAACTCACAGATATCCGCCTGGCTCTGCCTCCCGAGTGCTGGGATTAAAGGCGTGCGCCACCACCGCCCGGCCCAATATTTCTACTTTTAAATGTAACTTGAATTTTAAGAGTTGTCTCATGCTTTGTATGGGGAGCTTTTGTCTGTCTGTCTGTTTGTTTGTTAATTATTCCTTTTCCAGGCCAACAAAGTACACCTAAGGAGTTTAATCTCCAAAGCTGAGCCCTGCCTCTGAGAAACCCCATGGCTGGTTTAAAAACACCATCAGGAACATGGCCAGGTTATGTTCTAGCTGCTGCATTTTAAAAAACGCTTAAGAAATGAATACTCTTCTCCTAGACATTACTTTGCATTCTTCTGAAAGTCATCTTTAGTGTTTAAAAACAAAACAAAAAAAGAGCTAAGCAAAGTGGTACACTCCTGCAGTCTAGAAGTCTGAGTCAGTAGGATCGTGAGTTCAAGGCTGGCCATAATCTCAAACAAACAAAAGCAGATAATAAAAAAAAAATCTTAAATTAAAAGCAAAATAGAGAGCAAGGAAAATATTCAGCAAACCTTTCTATCTGATTAAGGACTCTAGTCAACATTCATATATTTAGATTTCTGAGAGAAGGATTTTTTTATTTATCAAATAGTATTTATGGGAACTAAGCATCTGTTCATCTTCATGGATTTCTGCAGAAATGTTTGGACTTTCTTATTTGGTAAGTGATATTTGTGTGGGGGGGAATCTAATTCAGGGGATCACACACACAAGACAGGTGCTCTACCAATGAAGTTCATCTCTAGACCAGTAATTAGACTTTTCTTGTTGTTTATTTGTAGTTTTGTTGGTATATCTTTTGGTCTGGTTTTTGGACAGGGTCTCATTATGTAGTTCAGGCTGGTCTTGAACCTGCAATCCTCTTTTTGAGACTCTTGGAGCTCACTATATATACCAGGCTGGCTCAAACTCATTAAGATCCTCCTGCCTCTTCCTCCTGAGTGCTGGGATTAAAGGTGTGTGTGCGATATCACATCCAGCTATAACTTTTAATTAAACTTATCTATCTATCTATCTATCTATCTATCTATCTATCTATCTATCTATCGTGTGTGTGTGTGTGTGTGTGTGTGTGTGTGTGTGTGTGTGTGTGTG